CAGGGGGGTAGCGGTCAGCGGCGCCCATATCGTCAAGCAGTAGTCTTTAATGGTCCCTGCTTCTATGACCGTTCACAGGGTCCAAGGGCTAGGGTTCGAAAGAGTGGCAAGGTGGATTCGTTCTACAGGGTTCTTCGCCCAAGGGTGAGTGGTGCACCGCCGAGCCCCGGTGGGGAAACGCTCGACGGTCTGTTCCTCGTCTTACCAGACATCGTCTTGCTGGGCAGAGAGCTACCGAGGGGGTACCTCACGAGTTTCGCCAAACACTCATTGCATTGATGCCATCAACGACCCCCCATCGGGGGCCTCCCCGATACATGTATGCGACAAAAAAGCACACACGACGGTTACGGTTAACGTGGAGTGACATACGCTACACTGTCGGGACGAGCGGTGGCCATACAATGCCCCAAGCAAGTGGACGGAGGTGTGGCCTGGAGCATTGTACGACGATTTGGGTGAGGCAAGGCGTGTCGAGGCGGGGATACATATGCCCTTGCTGAGCGGCCGAACAAACAATCCTATTGTAGCAATGGAGCCAGTATTATAGGAGCGAAGAGCGCCACACCGAGTGCGACACATGGCCGATTACTTTTCCTGGCAGTCGCTGCATTGTGGTCACATCTTTTTGTGCTTCAACCAAGGGTAACGTGTACGAAGACGACGATAGTATCCACCTGCCTCCTCCCATTCAGAAACACAGGGCGTTCATTCCACTTCCATATCCCTCTTCTTTTGCGCACATGACCGAACTCATATCTCGCCAGTCGACAACAACGAAGCAACGTCAGAATTAACCAGAGACGCACGCCACTCCAGTTTCTGTATGCATACTACGCCCACGACGTATGACGTATCTATGCGAAATTACGACCGGTTTTCGGCAGTCTAGCGTGCTAATTATCAGGCAGGGACACGAAAAGAAGCACGCAGCAGTTGCAAAGACGAAGGCTTACCGTGCTCACTGCAAGGAATGAATCAAATTACATATACACGCACGCCACGTGAGTTCGGCAGCCGACAAAACAGCAATGCGCTGCCGTCTCCAAGGGGCAACAAGGACTCGTCTGGGCGACGATTGTTGTCGGATTCTGCTATTTTTGCCGAAGCGAAAAACGCGGTCTGTTGGTGTTGGTTTTTTTGGGGGGGGGGCGTCTGGCTCTGGTATTTACTTGAAAAACAAAATGGCAATCTGATTGTCTTGTCAGAACCACAGAGGAGAAGGTTGCCTAAAGACCTTGCATCAACAACGAGTGCGCAGGGTACGCTTGCTCACGCATGGAGAAAGGGGATCGCCCCTCTAGAAAAAGTCTCCGAAAATGCGAATCTACTGCTGAGTACCCCCAAGCAACTATACTTCGATTCGTAACCTATGCTGGCTGGCACGATCAAAATGTTGCCATCCTTGGCTTCGCGTGTCTTTTACAGAAGTCACGTTGTTCGCTGCCATTCATGCCGAAGACTGCGAACCCGGTGCAACCTGGATGGACACACCTTTTGGCGACGGCCTGCACTACTTCGCGTGCTTAGAGCAGAACTCGCGCTTGTTGGTGCCGTCTTCACCACTTGACCGGTACTTGAAGCACCCCGGGTGGCGGCACCTCTTACGGACGACATCCACCATGCCCTGCTTCGCGTGCTGAGCGCAGAACTCCGACCGCTTGGTGCCGTCTGTACCATAAGAAGGGTGCTTCATACACCCTGGGTCGCGGCATCTCTTATTGCGAACGTCAATCATTCCTTGCTTCGCGTGTTTGATGCAGAAGTCCGCCTTCTTGCTGCCGGCTATGCCATATGACGGCCGCGTCTTGCACCCTGGATGGGCGCACCTCTTGTGAAGGAGGTCGACCATGCCCCGTTTCGCGTGCGGAGAGCAGAACACCACCTTCGTCGTGCCGCCTGTGCCATATGACGGGTGTTAATTACACCCTGGATGGGCGCACCTCTTGTTGCGAATGTCAACCATGCCCTTCTTCGAGTGCTTAGAGCAGAACTCCCGCTTCGTGGTGCCCTCTCTGCCGAAACACGGCCACTTCGTGCACCCGTGTTCCTGGCAACTACCCTGTCCCTGATTCGCCACCTTGGATGTTGCCGCCGCCCCCGTTCCACCTCTCGATCCTTCCGGAGCGGAGCCCATCGGTCGGCGCTTGGATGATTCTATCGTAGAGCTGGTACCCCAAAGCAAATCCACACAGCTGGGTGGCGGCAAAACACCCGGGGGGTTGGCCGACAGATGATCATTCAAACAATGTACGAAACCTACGTTGCGGATCAGGGAGTAGTGCTTACAGTCATCGACCCATTCCCGCACAAACAGACGGTTCGTGGAAATGATGAAGCTAAGCTACCTTCGCCGTACCTCGATAGGCTCAAAGAACTATAGCACGAAATATTGGATACCAGAATTTAGAGGGAAAGCTGAGGGCTACGAAAACAACAGAACTCACTCAAATTTTCGACTCAGAGCAGCATCGCGTATGTGGTGTTTGCTGCCGTCCGAAGAGAGCTATTTATGTTTCGTTTTCGGACAGCAGGAAGATGGCAAGGTACGGTCTCGCTGATCTAGTCATGCGATTATTTTTTTTTCCGGATTTCCCGGATCACAGATCCTTACCGAAAATACTAAGGGCAACTTGGTAGCATTTGTTAGGCGGACATAGTTTCGGCGGTAACGCCCTTTGGCCGTAACGTATGTTTTCTGCGGTAGGCGAGAACACCTTTTGGCGGAGGCAATAGAATAAAGATGGCGGATATTGATCGGTGGTGTTGCCATATCGCTGAAATTGGTTCAGCGGTAGGCAAAAAAGAGTTTTTAGGCTGTAACGACTTTGGCGGAGGCGGTGCAACAGAAAAACGGCGGGATTTTTTGGCGGTAACGCCATACGGCGGTAAATTTTGGCGGTAGGCGGTATTTGAGTTTTTCGGTGATGACGACTTCGGCGGAGGCGTTAAAAAAAAACGGCGGTAAACCGGTGGTATGCCGGTACCGCCCACGGCGGCGGTATTTCGCGGGAAAGAAGGCCATCTGGCAGCAACTTCAAGCGACACCAAAAAAGGCGGTAATTGCGGTGTTAAGTTACGGCGCCCGAACGGACGGCGAAACTCTTTCCCGAGGATTGTCCATGTACTTTCATGGTTTGTTTTTGTCGTTCACCAGTCAATGAAGCTCACGTTTAGAGTCAATTCAACGTAAAGATAGAAAAATGAAAAAAAGAGACAACCAAAAATCAGAGAGCTAGCTGGAAGCTAGGGGCACGAACTAAATAAATACTACACGACCAATCGTGGTATCTCATTGTGTAGGCTATGGTTGATTGACGTGTTCGCCCACATCTCCTGCTCCTCCACGGATTTCTGCGCACTCTCGACTTCCTTCTAGAAATCGCTGCCCGACTACCCACATGGCCATTCGGTATCTCACAGCCTAAGGTCAATCGACGCGTTCTGTGATGATGTACCTATACGGCGGAATTTTTCGGCGGTATTGCCGTGTGGCTCTAATTCGTGCGGCAGGAGACGGTAATGCGGTTCTTGGCGGTAACGACTTTGGTGGAGGCGGTAAAACTAGAAAATGGCGGCAGTTTTCGGCGTTGTGTTGTAGTTGTTTTCAAAATAAAGCCGTTACGGTCTCCGCTCAGCACCTTCTAACGTCCGTACTGGGCCAACTGACGCGGATGCCTTCCGTGGTCACAAGCCAACTACCCACCCAGGAGGTAGACCATTCTAAAAATCGAACACAACCCCAGAAACGCCCTCCAAGACGCGATTTGATAACCAAACTAAAAATTTGGCGGTAAGAATTGGCGGTAGGCGGCAACGCGTTCTTTTCGCGGTAACGACTTTGGCGGTGGCGGAAAAAAAAGCACAACGGTGGTAGAACGGGGGATTTCCGATACCGCCCACCACGGCCGCAATTTGACGGGGGCAAAAGCAAACCCTTGGAAAACACCATGTGTAGCCGGCACTTCACTCACAGTCAACACAAGCGACAAGGGCGTTTTATTGGAAACACGTCGCGACATGGACGATTCCAATTTTCTGCTGAGTGGACGCGGAATCACATTATCCGCAAAAATCAGAAGTGAGTTTACCTCAGCTGAAGATGAAGAGTTTCCAATTAATCGAAGCTGGAGTAATACTGCCACAAACGATGTCTGGATCAACCATCCATGATTGGATAGTGTTGATTGAGGTCATTATGATACCTAAAAATAATACTTCAAAATAGCAGCGTAAACAAAGCTATTCCCTCAAGATTGTAGGCTCAGCCAACCGTCGCTATTCATCTCCTCCGACAGTTTGTTGCGCTATCCCAGTCTTTCGTTTGGCAGACACATAATCGATTTCCAAACGTAAGCGTTGTGGGTAGTCCGCTGTTTCATCGCTATTTTCCTTTTCAGCAAAGGCCGAGGGAACCGAGAACGCCCGTGCCCCCACTAGAATATGTGTAGGATGTACCAATTGCTCAACACAGAGGAACTCCTCGTCATGAGTCCGAGGAAAAACGCAAGGCGGGACCGAGCGTCTACTTCCAGCTTCATTTTGTTTTATGGCATGCTGCTGATGCTTCGGATCGGTCCCGTTGTTATTGGTGTCTCATCTCTCAAACATTCCCGATTATTGTGTGCGCTTCGAATACAACAACGGATATGCCGAGACCCGGCAGACGTTTTCGCGCATACTTCGGCAAAGATGCGATGAGGTTGAACCATTACGTGAAGATGTCTGTTGTACAGGCATGCTCGATTCGGTGCCGTTGGTGTCGCGGTGTGCTGCAGGCGTCGAAGCTAGACTTTCGCCGTAACGACATACTTTGCTCTCCTCCAGCTCTCACTCCTTTGGGAATGATACAAATGATTAATTGATCACAGCTGTGGATTCTAGTATGTGGAGGTTGCTTTCGAAGCAGAACGTGCTGCTTGATGTGTTTGAACTGTTTTGTCCTCCTGTATGCGCCGAAGCTCCCTAACCAACTCGAATATCGCTGTCCCTGCCATCCACTACGCACAGCCCACCTGGTGTCTAAACATAGAGACAGATACTCAGGAGTATACGTGTGGTGAGTGCGGAACGCCGTTTCGTACATTTTCGTCGAACTGCGCGGGTCCGGGGGGTTGGCTTCGAATAGCCACGTTGTCCTCTAGGAAAGTTCGGCCTCGAGTCATCCACCTAGAAACGGCGGGCAATCTACGTCCGAATCGCACATCCCTGCATTCGATCCGGCAGTACAGATGCAAGGCCAAGTGGCAAAAAGCTCTTACCTTCCGGCGTAGTTGTGTCGCGTCCGCCGGCGGGAAGCGTTCACTTTGCCCTCGAGCTTGCGCTTGCCCCGCCTTGCCTGCAGCAACACATCAAACAACTTGCTAAGAACGGGCTTCGCTTACGCTGGAAGCGTCCGCGGGAAAACATGATAGAATGGCTTGGAGGGAACCAGGAATCCATAATATCCAACATGGGCAACATGAACACAACGTAGAGTTGGATCCCCCGCACAATCTCATCAACATTCCGGATTCAGAAACCGCTTGGAACCGCGTGTTGTTGAGGAAGTGACAAACGAGACCATGACTTACCAAGCAACTGTCAGTGACAATGATCACAACGCATTCGAGGAAATGGAGTAGCGCTATCGCCGTGAAGTGTAAATGACCTGCACAGGATGACTTTACCCAGGTTCATGGGCGTAAAACGTAAATCACCATAAAGGGTGCGGATGTCTGACAAACAGGTACGGTGAGCGTCGCCAGCAGTTACATGAGACATGTGCTTTTCACTGGGAGGGTCTCTTTTTTCAGGCGTCAAACGTGCGTGCTCTAATTCACGGCGAACAATCCGAGTCATGATTGTTGGCGTACCTTCACCTTTTCCGCCCCCCGCTCCTCCTCCTCCCCCCCCTCCTCCTCCTCCTCTTCCTCCTCCTCCTCCTCCAGCTCCTGCTCCTCCCCCTCTACGCAATCGATCCCGGGGGTGTCCTTTTGACGACATCCAACACACCAGGGACCGAGGATCGTGCCATCGCAAGGGGTAAGAGAATATGTATGGCGGTCAAAACATACCGGAGGCAACCCAACGGCCCAAATCCACTACACAAGTCAGGACTAAAAAAATCAAGGAACACAACTTGGTTGTGGGCTGAATGCATGCCTTGCTTACGATCGGTCTCGACGGGTTTTGCTACGATTGGAATCAGTACTTTTCCTACAGATTTACGGGAAAGGGAGAGCACTTCTTCATGATCTGCATCAAAAACTGCCCCTTCTGAACGGCCATCCCCGAACGCCTCTACCAGTAGACGTGCATGACGAGGTCAATTGGCAGGACGAATAATGAGTGAAATAGCAGCAGCGCGATCGAGCGGTACCGAGGGGGAGTCGGTTACACGCGGCAGGTCGAAGCAATCTCCTGCTGCTACAAGAACGAAGGCGGCACTGCACGAGCCTAGGCATCCGTGGATACTCACATCGGGCTCCGGATAGGTGCTCCCAGCCCAGGGCATCACTTTGACGGTGGGAAATGTGTCCTTATCCGCTCCATCATGTGCGGATATCTCTGACTCGACGGCCTGCAGCCCGGAAGCATGACGGTCGCGACTGGGCAGGTGCAAAAGTGAAGAATAAGGCTGGTGGATATACTCCTGCTTGGTGTCCTAGTTTCCCTTCAATCCGTACGTGGTAGACGTGCCAGAGGGATATATCCTGTACCATATTTCCGGCGCTGCATGCGGCCGTTAAGCGCACAACACTCACTTCCAACAGGGGCTCACCTTGGTCTCCGCATTAAAATCGCCATCCTTGACTTCTGAACCACGAGACGTCGCACCTGCGTGATGAAAGGTACGAAACACGAACAACCGGCGTCGTATTGAATGTTGTTGAAAATGCGCAAGGGATCATGCAGGCGATGTGGCAGAGCAAGCTCCCAGCACTGTTTCGGGTTCCTAGTCAACCTTCAACCACGGTATATTCCGCCACACTACCAAGCCGTATTGGGTAAAATTCCAGAGTCTTTGCGCACCTTGGTCCACCCTGTCGCTGCTGCCTCCATTTGTCATTCTCCTGAAATCGGCCATTGGAACAAGATGAACAGCACAAGCGCAACATCACCATAAACGCATACAGCCACAGCATCGCGCGGCCAGTTCTACAGCACCTTTATGAAGTACCCCATGCCCCGGCAAGGCTGCAAGCGCAGAACATATGGTATGTTAAAGTGAGAAGGCAGAGAGGACAGTGTCGAATGACTTGTACAACCCAGACTGGAAGACGTCGAATTGTGACAATAACGAGCAGCATCACTCAAGCGAATACGCTAAGCGGCCGGCCAATATTGTCAACAAAGCGCATACTTGTCCGCCATGACCACAACTGGTTCAAGATCCGCTTCCAAGGCTGCTGCAGCTGCGTGCGCCGCCTCTGCCACTTCGACTGCCGCCTTCGCCGCTGCCGATTTTTCTGCAGCCGCTTCCTTTGCCGCTTGAGCCGCCGATACCGCTGCAGCCGCCCTGTCAGCCGCCGCCTCGACCGCCTCGACCGCAATCAAGACATTGACTGCCTCCGTCTTGACGAGGCTGGCTGCTTGAGACACAATTTCAGTTGCTTGAGATAGAGGAAGGGCGCCAACACCCGTCGTACGAGCCACAACTTCTTCATCGATGGCTTTCAGGCTCGAAAACGCGAGTCTAAGCGTCTCCGAAGTGATCGTCATTTCTTCTCTCGCCGTCGCCACATCTCTTAAACCTGTCTGTCCGCAGTACAGACGACACCGGCGAGGTCAGAAGGGGGGCGATGGGTGAGAGGGAGGACACGGGATCTTGATACTGTACACAGCACGAAGTTGCCGAGGCTGAGAGAGAAGGTACAGACAGTGGTTGTCACCCATAGGTCTTGCAACTGGGGCCTCTACTGCAGAACCAAGAGGCGGGCCCCGTGCATCAGAGAGAAGGGAGTCTCCTCGAGCTCGTCTATGTCTTCATGCTGCTTCGACATTTTTCAATATTGGTGCACCTTCGGGAACGACTGCAGTAAGCCGCGGAGAGGCAACGGCCGCGACCGTTTTCGGCTTCATCCCAGGCGGGAAACCCAGTCTCCAAATGTCGGTCCCTTCCAACGCGATGCAGGCCCAAACGTAATCACCGAGAGACCAAAATTGCTCTCTTTTTTCGACCAGAACAAGATCTACGCAGCACCGATGGAAGATCTGCTGGCTTCTGAGGAGGAAGAAAAATAGCGCACTCTTTCGTCGCACCGGTTTGGTGGTGATCCATCCAGAGATAGCCGTGCTACAGAGGCATGTGTCCCGAAAACTCGTAGGAGACACCTCACCCGAAGACTGGGAGTTGTCGAGGTAAAAGGGGAACACCAAAGCGGAGATGCCACGTGCGAATTGGTACGAGCTACGCATAGCCAAAGCCAAAATAGAGGCGTCACACTCTGCTATATCCCCGCACATCCATCCATAGAACACATCCACCCGCCGTGGCCGAATCCCTTCCGGTTGTGAAAGTGTAGCAGTAACAGCAGACCTGGTGCCCGCTTTCCGGCTACACAACAGGAAGTCTTGACGATGCGCTTGCCGTTGGAAAATCTCAACATAAATGATGGGTGAAAATGGATGGGAGTCATCGCAGCAGAGAGCGAAGTCGAGGCGATGGTGCTGTTGGCGCAGTCGTCACATGAGACTCATTACGATAGGCATGGTGTCTTGCGCCAGACAGCAAGAGGGCATGGGACGAGGGAAGCAAACAAAAGACGCCACCTTCAGCATGCGAAACAGGATGAAACATGTGACTGAGATGATAGAGAAAGACAACGGTCCAATCGAGCGAAAGGCCTGTGGCTCTGAGCTGTTTGTCGGGCAACTTTCCACACCGCGCGGTCCCATGGTTGTATCCAGTGCATTCGTGTCTGCCACCACTGCTCATTTAGGTACCGCTCGTTTGGCGGTACTGAGGGCCAACGCGTGCGTGTGTGTGCCTCCGCCGTTGGGTTAGCTTTTCACACCCCAGTGGGAAGCTTCCAAGATCCGAATGGGTCGACAGCGTGATCAGGCAACGAGTTGCCTAATTATCCATTAGCAAGGGGGAACACAGTGACCCGTGTCCCTCGCAAAATATCATTGCTGCAACCAAATTCTTCTAATCTCAGATTACAAATGACGTCATTAGGGTTAGGGTTAGGGTTAGGCATCACTGATATAAATCATCAGTGAATATACTTAATAAGAAAGACTCGAAATAAGTCCAGTCCCCAGCCGTTCGACTGTGGTTATATCTCGAATGGGTACTTTCTTTCTGTGCGTGTAATCATTTTCCTTAATTAGACTATACCAATGCAAATGTAGCTCAGCGAAAACTCTGTGCACAAAAGTGGCAGACTGGGAGGAGGGTCTCATGAACACAACAGAGACTGTCATCTATTCTGCGTACTCTGAACGCCCCAGTCTCGCAGGCAAGGCTTCGAACCAAAGTAACCTCCGCGGTGAACTGCAGCAACACTCCAACCTGACTATTGCGCTGGACGGACGGTATGTACATAGCTCACCAAGTTACCAGAGACCCAGAGGTCCGCCGCACGCCGCCGGCCTGAAGTCCCTCGAGGGCTCGCCGTCGCGCTTCGTTGGTGCTAGAGACTAGGCTACTGCTGTAGAAAGGCTACTATACATACAATACAGCAGTACACTGCAGGGAAGGCACAAGGCAGCTGAATGTGCTTTTTTTCTGTGCGTAGGGCGGGGTTGGCAGGAGCGGTGCTGGTGTGGTGGGTCCGCGAGTTTTAAATAGTCAATACCACACTGCTGTAGTTGTGCAGGTCCCTGTGGGTGGACGAGAGGACAGCTGCAACAAGCTGCCAACTGCAACTGAGACAGATTCGAGACAGATTCCACGAATGAATGTTCTTGCGGCCGAAGGCCGCCAAAACCATTTGAAACCCGCCGTTCTTTCGCGTGGTTCCAGCACGTATGCGTATGTGAGCCCCCCAAGTTTCTTGAAATCGGGTCACCCCCGTTGGCACTTCTCTCTTCGAAAAGCAAAACCTCTCAAAGCACGTAGTAGGGTAAGAGCACTGCAGGAAAACTGGAGACCGTCTCGAAATACCGGAATATTGGGAGCCAATCAGATGGGACCAGTTCCAGCCAAGGGGGTACCAAAAAAAACTCCTCTGGTTCCAGCACGGAACACTCCCAGAGCTGCAGAGCCCCACAAGTTATTTGGCTATCTTGAAATCGGTACGCCCGTGCAGTTCGTTGGCCATTGGCAATTGCCTCTTCGAACAAGCAGAACGTAGAGAACAGGAAGCCTGAAAATATTTATTTCCGTACAATGTGCCTTGTAATATACAGCAACTATCTTGTAATGTAGCACGTAATCTAGTGTGAGCGTTGTCTGAGCGCTTCATGAGTATTTTGAACATTCGTTGGATATGGATGTTTGGCATCGTCGTGGGGTTTTGAAATCGCTTCGAGGAGGATCAAAATCCCAGCCCCACTCGCACTCTCCGAGCGCTGGGCGGATCTGGTCCAAGAAGGCTAACACAAGAGACCAAACAACGACTGTGAGTACCGAAGCTAGGAGCAAACGTACTTGCTTCCTTCTCTTTTTCGTTCTCCTTGCTCCTCCGTAACTCCCATGGTAAGCCAGCCCGCCGCGGCCGCGGCGACGGCAGCGGCGATCTTCGATCTTTGCCGCCAGACAGGCGGGACTACTCTTCCTCCCCTGCCGATCATTTCCGGCGCGATGGTGATCTTCGCTTCGGGATACGAACGTGCGCGCGCTGCCACCCACAGCCCATGTAATAGCCGAATGTGAGTTTGATCGGTGGGCAAGCTAAGCTAAGGATGATTTATCGCGACCGCGATAAACGACGCACCGGCGACCATGAACAGGCAAGGGAGGTGGCGAAGAAGGCATCCGACGGCGACGTCGGCGAAAAAAAGGACGCTACTCAGTCCGGGAGAAGGCTAAAGCCGAGCCGGCATCAAACATCAGACCACACAGACAGCAGCTTTGACGGGATGCAAAGCATCTCCAATACCGGCGGAGTTGGTGGGGAGGAACGACGTTTATGAGTGGCAGGCAATCGAGCGGGGCATAAAGTATTCTGCCACATGTGGGAAGAAAAAAAGCTTTGCGTACCGATTCGCCCGCACGATGGCGTCGGCGGAATGCGACAAATGCCACAGGTAGCACTGGTGGTGAGAGGACCACACCGCCCAACACGTGGATATTGAATGACACCCACACATGGAACCTGGCACGTAAGCCGTGGTCCAGGTAAAAGCTCACAACGCTCATGTTGTAAATGCGTGTGTCTCGAGAAACCTATCACGGTACCCTCCGCTTGAACTACCAAAAAAAGGTACTCGGTGGTCTTCGCCAATCAGGATGGGGTCTCGAGGTCAATTCCCAACTCAATTGCCTTGCATATCGTTTGGTGTCATCCAACACGCTCGCCTATACCGCGTTCTGTCGTATGGCCCCAAACGATTGACACCAACAAACAATCCACGTCCACGAATTCTTCAACACGCCTCCCCAAAATCGAACAACAGCTTGCTGTACGTTGCGACAACAGCGGCCAGTTGCCACGACGTTTCACGCAAAAACAAAACAACACCCCGTGTGGGGGGACAAGGTCCTCCATGAAGCACCGTCAGTATGAACAACGATACACCAGCTCGATGAGCTCATCATGCAGTGCTGAAATCACATGAACGAAACCGAAATCAAAACCAAACCTGACGATGGCTGACAGAGAGAATTGTTTCAGCACGTAGATTCAACGATCGGAGCAACCCCTAAAAATGCTACAACGGCTGCCTAGTGCGGTCCTACTTCGCAAGACTGTGTTGCGCCACCTTTCAGCGGCTCGGATGCCTTGAAATATCGTGGGGTAGGTATCCTCTGTTAGGGTTTCGGCTGAAGGGGGGCCAGTTTGCCACTGGCTCGATTCTAACACCCTTAACCCTCGACTTCACGATTTCCAAGCAACCCCCCGAGCTGCAACAGCTACTAGCTGGCGGCGGAGCCCGCGCTATCGATGAGTGCCACAACAATGCAAATTTTATGCCGCTTCTTCACAGCTTGAGAGTTGGGTGATCCCGTAACTTTCTGACCTTCAAGGTTGTGGGTTTACTCTCGAGCGAAAGAAAAAACGGGAGGAACTGCTTAACCCTTCCAGGGTACCAACCGGACAAACGGAAAGCTCAACAACAACATGGAGACGGCGTTAAAGGTGAAAGTTTGTTGCCACGCCGTACGTCGGCTCCGACACGACGCAAGGCCGCGCTGCGAAAACAACACCACCAGTGCATTACCACGTGCGTGCGCAGCACATGGTGGGAGAATCACCGTACACCGCGGGAGCAAAACAGAGCAACTGTACCCGACGTTGCACTACAAAAGAGGGAAAGGATCGCGTTGACATCCCCATGGACGATACCACCACGCCACAAAGTTGAATCAGTCGCTGTCCTCATCTGACATATGGTTGCTGGGTCCCCCAATAGCGTCTATTTCAGAGTCCGCGCTGTCCTGGTCCCAGTTCTGAAAACACAATTGCCGCGTGTGAGACGACGAAACGAAACGCGACAACGCGAAGCGAACAAAGGTTTGGGAATTGCTTTTCGTTTGTGTCAGGGAGAGTGCCACAAAGACGACACCAGAGATGCAACACCCAAAGTTGCGTGCTACGAGAGGTAACCAAGGCGAGGACGGATCTCAACAAATGCACGGGTTCCGGGCTGGTGACTGAAAATTGAAGAGAGAAAAGACGATGTCCACCGTAACTCCGTACCGATCTCATTGCTACATATCCCAGCGAAGTTGCCCACCAAGATCTACCTACGACTTGGTAACGCGCCGAAGAAGATATACTGCAGACGAGTAGAGCGGGTTTTGTGGCGATCTATTCATCGTCCATCGCAGCGACAAGGACACGTGATTGAAATCTCCTGGTGCAAAATCTACGGCGCACGGTAAGCCTAATCGGTCAGGACCAATCAACGGGATTCGCGTGCAACACGAACAGGCCATGAGCGTTGCATATTGGGCTGAGTCTTGTGGCTGTTGGAACTCTTCTCCAGCTAAGAAGGAGCCAGATGAGTCGTTTCCATTGAGCGGAGTGTTCGAGTTGTATCGTGGGAGGGCAACGAACTCGCGGAAAATCTGAACTCTGGGCAGCCAGAAAATTTTCCGCATGATGGGAGCGTGTGTTACTACATTTGATCCATTTAAATTTAGTTTTTTGTTTTAACGCAGGTCATGCGTCAACTTTGAAACGAGTTCCAGGTGACGCCGCTGCAGAAAGCACAGGCCACGGCATAATTCGAACCCACCGAAGCACGAGGCACACGCTATGCACTCCTACTGTAGCACCGTACTCTAGCCTGGCTGGGATGTTTCTTGTTTTGCCCGGTCACCGCACCAGTGAGACCAACAGACACAACATAAGAGGAAGAGCGATATAGCAAGAGGAAAAAGGAGAACCCGGGAGACAGGCAGAGACATAGAGAGAGCGCGGAACAAGTTCAAGACGAGACCGTGTTGGTTGCGTTTTAGCGTCCAATTGTTGTATGTTCCGTTGAGCGCGGGCCAGTGTGCTCGAGGTGTTGCGCACGTCGTTTCCCGTTTGTTTTCCGTCTCTCGATATGCGCAGGGGTCTCTTTGCCTCCACGCATGGGAACGGAAAGCCCAACATCAATATTTATCACAAAGTAAACTCAAAAGCAATTTCCAACATCGGGCACCCGATATTGACATATGAAATACGCCGGTCACGTCTTCGCTGCAAAGTCATGCAACCGCTTTGTGTAGACGCCTCATCCATCGAACTCTGTCTCAAGATATGATATACCCGTCGCTCCAATTACCAACTCGCCCGCGCCGAGAGAAGCTATTGCCAACCCTCACCAGTTGACGAAGCGAGGACAAAAGCAACCTTGGTGCAGAGTGTCATGAATATGCCGGTAACACCACAACACAAAAAGCCACCCGCTCGTAAGTTGCACTCTTGCCGCCTACGTTTCGTTGGTCTGTTCGGCAAAACGTATGGTAAGAAATAAATTTATAAATGGGCGAAAACTGATCTTCCCCGGGAGTACAATGTATGTGGTACAGTACTGTCCAAAAGTCTGAAAAGAAAACATGGAAACGCCAGGCATTATCGCTAAAGAAGCTCCACAGTGTCAAGAAAGCCACATCCATCGAAAACGCTCATTGAGCAAGCGTACCTTCATCGTGCTCGCACCCATCATATAGTCCTCCTTTAGCACGGACCACGAACGACCTCCATCCTGCACGCAGCACATGACAGGGCCATGCAGAACAAACGGAATGCAGGGTGGTAACCAGTAAGCCAAGGGTAAGAACAAAAAAACGAAAGAGTAGAGTATAATAGAATAGAATAGAAAAACGGAAAAGACGACAGAAGAATGAAGAAAAGCCCCGGCGGTGAACTGACGCTATGTAAATCCTTGTCTATAGGTCGTGAGTAGCGGGACGACAGCAACGCAGGAGTCATGTTTGGCTTCTCATGTGATCAGGGGCGGAAGTCCAGCAATCAAGAGATGAGGGCAGTCGCGAAGACCGAAACTTGCGGTCGCGTGCGTTTGCTCTGCTCTCCCAAAACAAGCACCCGATGGAAACGGATGTCGGCAGTTTGCAGCGTCGATTGAGCAACACACCTCTTGAAATGGGGAGAAATCGTCAAAACCAGCGCAAAGAGCAACTCTACTACATAGGCCGGAGAGAGGTTGTGCGACAGGCGTAACCTGTGGTTGGAGTGCCGCACGTACGCTAAAGTACCGAATAGAGAATAGTTGGCTAGGCTATTTTTCGAAGCTACAAATGACGCGAAGACAATCTAGGCCAAGACGCCACGAGGCGTTTTGTTTTGTAAACCGCCGGTACGACGCAAACAGAAAAAACGAAAACCCTCCCCGCTGCCAAAGAGTTATTAAGGTGGCGCCCGCGGAAATGGGAGAAAAAACAAGGCTGTGGAGAAGCCCACCCCAATTATTGGACACGTTCGGCAGAATATCCGGCGATACGCAGCTCGTCGTCCGTTCAGATGTGAGCAGGTATAAGCACCACTTTAGAGGTATGATCACACAATCTACTGCAGCTGAATCTGAAACTGAGTGAGCGCTGCTGTGGTTTCACATTCACACCGATGTGCTGCACTTATGTGATAAAAAAAGAAGGCGTCTGCCGTGAGCATAAATAATACAGTGTGGATGCGCTCACGACCCCGCGTTCCGCCTCGTACCTCGTCTCTTTCACCAACAGCTCCGCCTCCTCCTCCCGCGCTACCACCTCCTCTCTTTCCACCAGACCCAACACCCGCACCAGCGCCTGCTTCAGCAGCGCCCCCGGTGGGCTTGACGCCGGTTTTCAACATGTCCAAGAAGGCGTGCCGCGAGGCACCCTTTACCACTGTCGCTTTAGCCGCTGCTGCCACGCTGTTACCGCTGCTGCCGCCGCCGGCGCCACCAGCGGAGGCGCCCCCTTGGTTCTGGCGCTTGCTGATGGCGTTGAAAAGCGCCACCACTGTTGGTTCCACGGATTCAGATTCAAGAGTTTTGTTTTCGACGTAGGTCGGCGGAGAAAAGGGCGAGCACGGCAGCGGGGAAACCACACGTCATTGGGAAAGAGCGACAGAGCAGAGGGGGGTAAAGGCCGGCGTTTGCCAGAGAGTACGACGGGGCAGTTGTGAAGGGAGCTACAGCAACATAGGCAATAGTCATGTTCGCATCATGCATGATGTTCACTTTTCAGAACGTACGCCCTTGAGAAAATCTGTTTTGCAGCGGGGTGAGGAACAGACTGGATTCTGCTGTTCGGGGGATATATGGAAATTTAGCAACCCAGGGAGCGGGTTGGGGGGCTGGCGGGTGTGATAAACACGTGTGAATTCTACGCTTGGGCGGTGCACAGTTGACGATGAACTTTGGTGAACTTTTGTCCAAAACAAAATGCCAACGGGAGCGACGACGGGGGGTAAGCGTAGAACGCACACGTTAACGATCCTTCCTGGGAGTGAAGGGGTGGGGAGGGGGGCGAGCGACCCTTTCGATTGGGTCGCAGTCACAAGAGGAGGCGTGCGTTTCAAGGCGAGCAGCGGAAGAGTTGCCGATGGTCGGTGGTTTTGGGTGTCACCTGTCAAACGCTTCGGGGACATGTAAACGGCAAGTGGTGGAATTTTCTGGTGGCTTGACGCGGTCGCTATTCCTGCAACCGCGCAGGGGTAGCACGAAAGCTCGCGCCTCCACACCCAACGGATCCAACGAAGTAACCCGCTTCGGTCGTGAGAAAAACAGCCGGATTTTCTGGGGGCACCAATGCCCCCACAATATTTCAGAGGCGTTTCATCGGTACCTTTAAACAGCCTCCGCTGTCCCATGACGAACTCAGCCATCAACAATTCCTGAACAGGAGTTGGCATCCCTGTGCTTGACATCTGGCGCCCGGCCAAACAAGGTACCACTTGATACGGCATATACCACGGAACAGTCGAGCGCGTGGTACACGTTGTGTGCGTCTGGTGTCCATCGATAATGTTTCAAGCACTGCTGTATCGCCTGGATGTCTGCCTCACACGACGTCATGATCGCACCATCGCACCCCCGCGTCGCTCGGTAGGAAAATAAATACAAACACAGAATGACTACCCGTTCGAGATATAGCCACAGTCGAAGGGGATGTGTTGAACTCTTTGCGGTGAGGTGTTGCTCACACCAAGTGCACAGAAGAGCAAACAAAACGCTTTGAGTGCGCAATAGCACGCGCAGTCAGCAACTCACCCCCCCGCGTGGCGATCTTCTTGAGCTGTCGCTCGTAGTCTGTCGTGGTGTGGTCGGGGATGACGAACTGCTGCGTCATGTTTGCTCGTCTGGCGGCCGACTTCCCTCTGGTTTCCGCTCGCTTCACCGAAGCGTTTTCCATCTCTTTCATGGTCTTCGTCTTGCGCTTGGCTAGGACAGGCGCCTGCGACACATCGAACAAATAAAAGGAGGTAGGATCGGGCGTGCCCACGTCGGTGATCGGTGGCTGAGATTTGAGGGGGGTAGAAGAGAACATGCATCGAGTCGGCGGAGGGTTGGCGAGGGACGCACAAGCACACCACGTGCCCCACGAAGGCGTGTTCCGCCACAAGGTTGCATCGAAAGGACAGCATCCCGCCCGAAAAGCCAAACTTTGCCGCGAAACGCGTAGGCCGAACACTTAGTCAAGCCTGAATCAGTTGTGTTCATGCAAACGTTATCTAGTACTGGTAAAAATGCTTTAAATTACACTCTTTTCAGGTACCATGGAGCTATGGAGATCTTTGCCACCGACGATCCTGTTCCGTATGGAGAGTATTCACGCAGCGGCATGAAATCTTGGAATCCCAATGGGGGCAAATCATTCCCACTCATGCTCCCTTGTTCAGGGGGACTCGAACACGGCCATGGTAGACGCATCGTGTTTGACACAACAAACACACTCAGATTGTGTAGAGTACACCACACACATATTCGGTCAACACATCTAAAAGACGACGTTTATACAAACTACTTTTCCCGGTCACCATGAACCCAAAAAAACACGACTGTCGGGGAGTAATAGGGGCATACTCCCCACAGATACAACATTCCCAGTGAAAATATCTTAACCCTCCTACTTGCTGTAGTACCCAGTCCCTCCGCAAAAGAAGATCGCAAATTTGTTTGTCAGCCATTGGTCGAAGGGCTACAGTCCCTCCAAAGAATCTGAGCTCCTTCACACACAAAGGGTGACTTGGCTTCAGTATGAAAAAAAGGGACACTTTTTCGTACTGAAGCCAAGTCAGCATTTTTTTCCAGTACCAGGCGATGTACGGTTTTACGACCTAGGGGGCACGCGGGTTGGGAGATGGTTCAGCAAGTCAGACGCCTAGGAGAGGCATAACACATCACCCAGCATATCACCCAGCGTACAACCTCAGCCACGCATGATAGACCAAGGGTTCTCACGTGCGTTGCACACAGCGGAGCCTTGGGTGACTACAGTGCGGTAAATAGGAAATTTGAGTGCTGCGTCCCCAAAGTGTCCCCATTTGGGCTCCAGTACTTCGAGGGAAATCGTCCAAGCCTCGAAGTTGAGGCAAACTGCTGTTTAGCGCGCGGCGGGGGGTGTTCTTGCGTCGTTACGCTAGGCAGGACCACAGCCGTAGCAAGAGAGTGCATCTCGGCCCAGAGAATCGCCCACGCAACGCAATCTTGGGTAGACGGGAGTAGGTGTCAATGCCTTGTTAAACGCGAATGGGTGAATTGTTGGTCGAAATCCGCCGTTGGACAGCACGCCGAGTGTATCTACCTCTGCCTATGCTGCTGCTGTCACACGTACCGCGAGTATGGACGCGTGCGGAGAAAGATAGATAGTATCTCACCTGCACCCGAGTGTCGAGTTTCTGCCCCAGAATCCTGGCCATGACGTCCCCCATACCACCCGTGGTCCCAGCAGGCGTACTATTTCCCTTCCTTCCCCCGCCCCCCTCGTCTGCCCCGCCGTCCTCCCCATCGTCGCTGCTGCTGCCACTGCTAGACCTGTCTTCGTCTCCACCACCGCTTGCTTCATGGCCAGCAGCTCGTTGTCTCTTCGACGCACCCCCAGAGGTTTTTCGGACACTAGCACGCTGATCATCCGGTGCTTGCGCCTGTGCCCCATCTCTACCAACTACCCCTTCTCGTGGGCGCTTCTTGCCAGCACCGGCGGGAGCGGGCTCCTCGTCATCCGACTCCGGCGCGGAGGAGTTGTCATGGTCCCAGCTCGTGAGCGGCGGCACCTTTTTTTTCCCCCTGTTTTTGTGCTTATTTTTCCCCTTGGCGTGCTTGCCAGCTCCGCTTGTGGCAACCACCTTCGTTGACCGAGAGATGGAGCGCGGTCCTGCCATGACGTATGTGTTTTGGCGGACGGGCTATATACGAGTGTTTGCCGGGCTGCGTTGGCGTAACTTGCGGCAGCAACCAATTGCCAACGCTTGACGCTTGAACGAGGGGGGGACGCAGACGAGACTCGTGCGGTCGAGGGGTGCGGGGCCAGCAACCCATCTACTCTACAGATCTCAGATCTACGGTACTGCCGGTCGTAGATCCAGATCACGGAATCATGGATCATGGATCATGTCTCTCCCTGCCTCTGTTGTGCTGGCTGTGCTGGTCCTAACTAGATCTGCTGGAGTTTTCGTGCATCGTCCGCTGTGTACAAACCTCACTCTGACAGCTGGCAGCCAGCTGTGGGCTGGACCTGCTGCCTGCTACTACTCATTGTTGCGATCTTTCTTGCGGTGACACGATCATCGGCTGTTCCCTCATGAGCTCCTCGGAGGAGGGATCCCCTAACTTCAGGCCGTTGGTACACTTAATGGTTCCGTCATCTCTACACCTGTCTACATCCCCGGTGTTGTAGGGTTTGTGTTGAGCGGTTTCCACCTATCACATCCCCTTACCGGTGTCAAAGCCCGGGACAAAAAGCTGTCTGGACATTCCTGGTTTGTGTTGTTTTCGAGCCTTGCACCCAAAATACAGCTAGTCCATTGGATCGTTGACAGAGTTGTTTGCGGTGTACGGTACAAAATTATCGCGCAGCAAAGTGCAGGATGCGCAGAGACTTGCTCATGGTGCCTGGAGAAGATGCTGAGACCTACATATCTCTTGTTGCGTAATCAAAACAGATGGAACCCAAAACAGTTTTCGCCAACTGGTCGCCCCAAAAGGCCACAGAGCGCGAACTACTGCTGTAGGTATCTAAAAACCGCACAACAAGAAGTGGCCTTGCGGTCCAAGGCAGGGTGAATCGCTAAAGCAGAGATTGTTTTTCAATCACACAGATACAGGAGCGGTTATTTTGTCCAGTCGGGTTCTTGACGGGCATCGTCTCATTCTCATCTTCCTCGCAAGGTTCGCCGAACTTCGACCCATTTCGAGTTGAACGTTGTTGTATTGCTGGTATTGCATCCGAAGGCAGAGGAATGCCAAACATTATCCGAGCAACCTCCACTGGTTGTGGGACGAGCATTGTGACGCCATACTACGCTCCTGGTAAAATCATTGAAAAAAAATAAAGCGGGGATTGGTTTCCCGGTTTGGGGTTCTGCAAACGACACACGCAACAAATACACCAGACACTGCTAGACCCCAATTGTGCTTCGGCGTGCCCTTTTGGAAGAATACAGCGACCTCACAATTCGAATCTGCGCGCACGTTCTACACGGAACCCACGGGAATTGCACACACAATTTCCTCGACGTCGGGGCGCGGGTTGGTATTTCAAAACTTAGCAGGGTACTCGTATGACAATCTGACAATCAACGACTACATCACGGGATATCAACACGTTCCAGGCACCAACTACCACGCAATGCTAAAGAAGTATCGTGGTCACCTGGGAAACGTGAGCCACAGAAAACAACACTAACACGATCCACACACAGTCACCCGCCGGAACCTCTCCCTGCAACCTCACAATCAATCGCCTTTCACCCGACCTACTTCCTTGCGTATTCTACCAGCCGCCACCCCCTGGCCCCGTCCACGTTTCAAAAACCCGAACGCAACACCAAGCAATCCATGAAACCATCGTCGACCGTTGTCCTCATTCCCCCTGGCACTGTTTCCACATTTTCCGTTACTATCGTTGTCGCCGTCGTTATCTGCGTTGCCACTCTTCTTTTTCCTACGGGAGGAAGCGCTTTTCCGAACGAGAAGATTGATGGCCGTGCCCAAGAAGAAAGTAATCACGGTACTCGTGAAGGTTATGACGTTGAACGGCATGCTGAAATCCGGCTGAGGGGAGTCCAACAGCCCGGCCTCTCCGTACGCGTAGACAACACGGCCCTCTCCCCTCCGTCTCCGGCGCTCATGCAGTGGACGCCCCCCGTCTCGAACAGCAGCACAGCTTCCGTCGTGCCCCAGATGCTGCCCGCCACTTTCGCCTTCCTGGCACCCGGGCTCGCCGACCTCACCCTCCCTCCCGGCGAAGGAGAACCGAGCGAGCGGGGGAGGGACGTCGAGGCCTCGGCTAGGGTCCGGGGGGAATTCTTCCACGGTCAAGAAGCGCTTGAAGAAGTCGAACTCCAGAACCAGGGTCGACGCCGGCGGGACCCATGCCCGAACTTCGACAACCGCCGGCCTGCGACCTTCCCCCGGGGTGAGCGTGATGTTTTGCGCGGGGTTCACGAGCGGACCAAGCCCCCCGTCGTCGCCACCGATGCACCGCTCACCGCCGATGGCCGAAGCGCCACCGCCGAGCGTCGCCGCGGAGACCTCTCCTTCAGTGGAAGTACCGGGATGATGAGCTGCACCAGAGTCTCCCAGGCGAGAGGAAGAGCAAGGGGAGACCAATCGAGCCCGCAGCGTCCCCAGCATCGGCACCATGAAGAAAGGGACGGGCTGGACGAACTCCGCTAGGGCGCCCGACGTCGGGTGCATGTTAACGAGGTGCGAAACTGAGACGCCGCGAGTTCCCCCGCGCCCGGAAAGATAGTGGTCGAGCCCGGCCACCGGCGGCGCGGAATACGATCTAGCAGCACCGGCAGCAGCATCCGCCCTCGCGGCGCCATCTTCGGTGATTGTAGAGGGTTCCACCGACGCTTGTCCGTCGGATCCCGTGGCAAGGTCCCAGAGCTTTCTCTGCAAGAACTCCGTCATTGTCGAAGACCTCGACTTACTCTTCTTGCCTCCGGCGGCTACAGGCGACGGCAACACCCTGGAAATCACGTTGACGGGCGTCTCGGCGTCACCGCCCGGGTCCGCAGCCGCCCCCGACGGCCCGGCATCGCAGTCCGAGTCAGAAACTGCGCAGCCAGCGGTGGCAGGCGAGGAATCGTCGCTGTCGGAGACAAGCCCCCCGAAGACGTGGATAGCGCTGCGGCTGGCGACCGGGCACCCTTCGAGTTGGACCGCCTGAGACGAAGCCAACTTGGGCGGAAGAAGCAGGGATGATATCGACCAGCCCTCTCCCTCCGAGATGGCTTTCGCCTCGGTGCCGTCGCCGCCCTTCCCAGCACGGTCAGCGACGCTGCTGCTGGTGCTGGTGCTAGTGCTACCGAGTCCTCGCGACGGTACGGTAGAGGCCGCCGAGGGAAGGTTTGGCCGCGGGCGGAAGACCGCGAGCACTGTCTGCTCAAGGGTTAAGGATGTGATCACGCCGCCACCGCCTGTGTCGGCAGCACCAGCGGTGTCGCCTGGTGACCCCGCGTGGTTGTGGTTGTCGGCGCGGTCGGAGAATGTGGCCGATGCCCTCACAGATATGGAGTGGTAGTCTGATTGGAACAGACGGGTGGGGTGGAGTAGACTGCCGAGTCCGGTCTGCGAGGTTCATCGAATACAGCCAACGGTCGGCGGAGGTGAGAACCGGCGATTGGTAAGGCGATGGCTGACAGAACGACGTTTCCGTACTGGGAATACACCCCAACAAACAACTTACCCCACCATCATCACGGGCTGCACAAGGCGTAGGAAAAGGAAACGTCAAAGGGATGGAGACAAGAAGCGATGTGCGCGTCCTCGCGAAGGCACACCGGGCCAAGTGTCCGACCAAGCAGGCGGCTCCTCCTACCGAGATCCGCATAATTGAGCACCAAAACACGGAGTACACACCAAGAGTGGCGTGTGTTTTGTCGTCTCATCTGCTCTGGGCGCCAGTCTGTTTGACGCACCACCAGAGGTTGCACAGAAGGAAAGTATAGACTACATTTTATATTTTCTTCACAACTTCCCGTAGGGTGATGGCCTGCATACGTTATTGCGAGAATGGCGCAATCGTTAAGTCGCTCTTTAGGTGACCACTCTCCACCATGCGCTTCAACCTCAACATCGCGAACCACAAACTCCAGCGAGATTCTTGTTCGCAATCAATAGGGTCAAGAGGGCTGCCAGCCACCCGGGCGACAGATGTGAAGCATGATATATTATGGCATCTTCATGGTGCCAAGGCAACCGTACAAAAACGAACGACGTCGTCTATCGATTTACCGCATGGTTTGTTCGGCCAACTCCAGTCAAAGCACATCATGGCAAGGAGCTCAACGCCCGCACACCTTTGATCGACATGGGAGCATCTTGATCAGAGGTATGAGATTCTCTGTGCAAATTGGCTCCCGTGGCAACGTTCCCCTCAGCACGGTCGTGCCGTTGGTGGCGTAAGAAACCTCCCCGGGCATGGCCATCTTCAACGGCGTGTGCACCCTGCAGTTCGCCGGAAGTAGATGGGTGGGGTTCGTGGCCGGACCAAACGTAAACAAGCATTGCGAAGTCAAGCGCTCAGAACGGCACAGCAGCAGCGTGTTCTTCTGGGCACCTCAAGGAAAAATTGCTATCTATGTAGAAGTGCAGCAGATACGCTCTAGAGCTCTTCCATGGCAACGTCCGCAGATATTCAAGCTAAACTACACAAAGCCTGCACGGGCCTTCCTCATCGCGCGCCCCCCCTCCCTTTCCACAAACCAGAACACTGTCCCCCACAACGACTCAAGACTTGCCCGAGGGCACATTGAAGGCAATTGCATTGCTAGGGCGTGCTACTCGAGGGTTGGAAACGCTGCGCTGAGCATGACGCCCGTACCGCAGTGGGACAACAGAGGTTGACGTACGTGAGCATGATACACAACGCTGTGCCCCGAGCTTGTAGTAGGAAAACGCTATCATTTTCCCGCACATAGTCGCTTCGGTCAACTCTGTTTTACCTTCACTATGCCACGCCACAGCCGAGAAGCTTGTTCCAGAAAGAACACCGCCGATACACAAAAACAGACCCAAACGTCAGGAAACCGTCCTCGCACCACCGGAAAGCTTCCTCCACAGGGAAAAACAAAAGCAGAAAGCACAGCAGTGTTCCCCACTCTTTCAATCGAGTCTCAGCCTCGAATCGAGCGGCCGACGTCACTACGCCACACGCAAGGAAACCGTCCACGCCCCCAAGCGAGGATGAATGAACCACGACAAATAGTGCCCCCTCTGTCGTAAAGAGTTCATGTCTCACCTAGTTTCGTCCATGCCGTCAAGCGAGGAGCAGTAAAGGCCGGACAGGCTTCGCCGGAGCCCGACCCAGCTCTCCCACGCGCCGTTGTCTGGGAGCCTCGCCCACATCTCTGCGCCACCTGCAAGTTGCAACCCATCCAGCATGGCCAACTAGTGAGAGGCACACACCACAAGATGTCGCCTTTGTGGGAGATGGTCGAAGATAGGTTATGGAGAGACATGTACACGGACTCGTTGGGGTGAATATCGTGACAATTGGTTCCAGCCGGCGTGAGGTACAACGGAATAGACTACAACCGAGGTACGTAGATAGAGCATCAGCGCGATTTTTTGCGGCGTCTACCGATGCTACATCAACAGGAACGCATCGGTAACGAATACCACTTTGGAAGAAAAGAACGCCTGTATGTTCAGCGCGAAGACCACAACAGCACAACACCGAAATTGAAGCGACAACGTTAGCGTGCTCCGCAAGCAAAATGCGAGAGCGTGCATGACTGGATCGAATGACCTACGTACGTCCAAAATATCACATTTCGAAAATCACACCTGCTGTATGAACCTTACTGCCCGCTCAAGCACATGAAGGGTAAATATTGGCCAACATATTGTCGGAGGTAGCCTCCGTTTGCCAACCGAAGACGTCTGCCATGCAGTGACAAGCAGCAAGTCGGCTAAAATATACCGCGCGAAGCGGCCTGGGGTTCGTACAAGGTCCGGGGTTTCGTACAAGGTCATTCAACTACAATACTTGTTTCCTTACCGGGGGTGTACTCGCCGCTGGATCCGTCACCAGGTCCGTTTCCCCACCCCACGGTGTCCCACCTCCCCTTTGACATTTGCAGGCTCAGATCTCGCACCTGCCCCCAGGCAAGCAAGGGGTCAGTTCGCGGCTGACTTTTATTCCTGCGTGCGTTGCCGGTGGTATAACCCGTGGTAGTGCATGCTGTACATATCTGCGGGAGGAGCATTTCGGAAACAGCGTACAGACACTCACGGCGGGTGTGGATATGCCAGCAGTGGCAACTGCTTATCCAAACACCGTGCCTGACTGGTTGCACGTGTTGTTCGTTGGCTTTTGGATTTTGTCCATCGCCCATCGAACGCAATACATGGACATCTGTCGAAGAAATCCCGACACACACAAGTAGATATTGAAACCACGTTTTCGAGTTAACCATATCATACGTCGTACAAGGTTCCCCTACGGGAGGTAGCAGGTGGTTTGCCTCCCGGGGGCGACGCAAGAGGACATGGCCAATCAATGACATCGCGGTCCCATGGTTGGTCGTCATAACGTTCGGTAGTGCCGGCTTCGTCAACCTGCATGCTTATAATTTGCCTGGAATTTGCATCATATGTGCGGGGTATTTTGTTTTCTCCCGCCGTGACTTTCCCTTGTGCGCGAGTGAGGGGTTTTGGCTATAGCAGTTTGCTGCAGGTCCTGCTGCTGTAATCCGCTGCGTTTAATCACTTTCTCTTCTTGTGCGATCGTGTTTTCCATGGTCTGCGGGACTTTTTCACGCATACACCAACAACAACGGATCAAAGGGACGCTCAACGTGCCCAAGAACAGTCACAGATAGATGTAGACTGCTACCGTACCAAACTTCTATATTTGACTTTTTCGATTGTTCGGAATTGAAATGTACATTTACCGCTGCCAAAATTGTGCGAGAGGACTTCTGGGTCGCGTGGTGTGTTCCCATGAGCATGAAGAGTCTTGATCCCCGCTGTGGGTACGCATGCGCCAGTTGCCGTGTGGTGGTTGTGTGCACAACAATCACAGCAGCAGGTGTGTGGGCGCGTGGGCGCGTGGCGCGTGGTGCGGGGTAAACAACAAGTTATGTTTTTAGTTTTCGTGCCGTTCGAGGAGGCTTTTATGGTTTGGATTCCCAACCCCTGAAAAAAGAGCCATTCCCAGCGACAATAAGCGGTCCTAACGCGCACCACCGGAGTCTCGCGAGCCCCACACATAACGGGTAATGTACCGACGGGTCCTCTGCGTGCCATGCAGAAGAAAGTGCGAAAAAAAACGCTGTCCCAGCGGTGAAAAACGAATGCGAAGAGTAAAAAAGTCGAAATCCTACATATGCATATCTAAGATATAATATTCACTGATGCCGACTTCAACGCATCCCCTTAAAAGGCTATCTCGGGTGTGCGTGCTGTAATCCCACCTCGTCGCATTTTTTTTAACGAACGAACCAACCGGGGTATTTTTTTTTGTACACCAAAACGACAAAGCACCCAGGGGGAGGGTCGGCGACATAAAATGATAGACAACGATTGGCCAGCACACATAAAGCGTATGGTATTCTGGTGGTTCAGGCCGTGGAATGCTGCAAACCAAGATTTTCGAGCGACCTTTCACCATTTTGCGTTTTGGTAGCAGGAACAATGCACCCGTTGGGCCACAACGTTGTAAATGGTTGCCGGACCCATCAACTCCCATGTTTCCTTGAATAAATCAATAGATATCGCGCTCCGCTAAAAATGTCTCCGTTACAGAAAACTGTGTAAGGGTAATGGACGTACGTACAAACAGGACTTAAAAGAGTGGCAGGAACTATAATATGGACACATGTAAACCTTGAATCCTCGTCCTCGTGGATGTATACAGCGGCGTTACATATACTGTACTGCTTTACTGCGTGTAGTTTGCAGGAGTTTCAAACCTTGCATCTCCGTAGATCTAAACATCCGCGTTTTAGAGTCCGCTACGGCTGGCGACGGAACATTTTGGTGCATATCATATGACCTGTTGCCTTGAATGTATTGAAGATTCAACATCACGTCTCACTTGCTGTCGTTATTTTACGGGTAGCACAACAACAGCAGAAGACCACAGAAAGCTGTGCGACGCACAAGAGGGACACCCCGGACAGCAGGCTTGCCTTGAATCTGTCGAGGAGTACCCCAACCGCTCTGGGGAAGACCGCTTCGAAATGGCACAGCCTTTCCGCCTGCGCTGTCCTTGCTTTCCCCACAGATTCTCGGAGCCTAGCCTCCCGTCCTTCGTGCCAGTCCTCGTGATCCTGGCAGCGATGCCGCGCCTGCGGCACCCAGTGAGAGCGGAACACGAACCTTGCCCCAACGTGGTGTTGGCCCAACCTCTCGACCGTAAGGTCCTCCGTAAAGCTCGTTCCGCTCGCTGATACACCTGTATCGAAACCACCAAAGGCTCCTGACATGATCCCTGCGAGGCAGAAGCCGATCGCTCTCAAAAAACCATGATCTAGTGCTGCCCGGGATAGCCTCATACTCTGGCCGGCTCTTGAGAACGAGACGGAGGAAGAGCGCGTCTTGCGGCTGTGGTAGGTGCTGCCTTTGAGCTGCAAACCGGATCTCTGGGGTTGCGTGGTGTCATGGCTGGGTGCAATAAATTGTCCGGTCCATGCCCTCTGCGAGGTCATTTCGCGGCGCCCCCTACCTTGTAACGGAAATGGGTTCCTGCGAGACAGATCAGCATCTCCCGTCTGCATATCCTCTCTACCTTCTACGCGCGCGTTCGATACGGCATTAGAGAGCACCAACGACAACTACACCTGTTTCGGAGTTATGAAGGAGGCAACTGCAAGCAAGTCCAAATTGGGGGCAAGGTGCGGCATTACAGCAGAGCCTGTCTCGAAAAAAACTCTCGGCGGAATCCGTACCGCTACCAACGGTGCCAGTGCCACATGTTGTGTACGGCGTGGTTGCCTCGCGGGTGGATATTTTGGAGGCCGAAACTCTCTAAGAAAATGGGGATCTCAACTCTTCGACGCGCCTACAACACTCCTCCCACATTTATCCCCGTTCGAAACCAATTTAGTCTGGCTTTTTGACTGAATGACACATTTCCAAACGTCTTGATTGGAAAGCCTCAGCTGGAAACAACGACACCCAGGTGGTTTGTCGACGACATTGGCGCTTCGTGTTCTCTTTATGAATGCAGCTTTGTCGTCGGTTACCTGTGTACTGTTAGTAGAGTTCTGTGAGCCCTTCAATTCTCCCAACAACGACCGGAGGAACACCAAGGAAGTCTAGCACGCACACACACACCCATTTATCAGATACATCAAGATATGCACTCTCGTTTCGGTGACTATTAACGGATCCCCAACTGCATGCATGCATGCACACACATGGATCATATAGTACCGCACTGCTTGCATGCACACACATGGATCATTTAGTACCTTGGTCTTGCTTGATATGCAAATATGTTTTCCATGTGCCTAAGAGAAGCGAACGACTGATAAGAGTGCGTGCGCAAGGTAGGTGACGCCATGGATTAGCTCAATAACCAGGGGTGTCACTTCCACTAAGACCTATTTAGACACGTTGATACGTAGCCTATGTACAGCTGTTCCTCAACCAAAATCGTGCTTGAGTGCGAAGCCTCGAGAAAACAACTTGCAGTAAACAAGAAACCCCGATATATGTGTGTTAAGGTAACCGCTTGTACCACTGCTGTGGCTACAAACAAGCATGTTGCTACGCTGGAGTGCCTTCCTGGTCTATAAACAAACGAAATTACAATCCCCCGTGACGCGTTCAGGGAATCGCTGGCCTTCGCAACCCAGGGGACGATGCCGGACGTGCCGGGCATTTTCGTAGAAATCTTAATCTTCAGTTCCCATTTCCCGCAGCTTTTCCTATTTGTTTAAGGCAGGCATCATCCGCAATACTGAATGCGAGCCTTGAGGAATCGAGCTCTGTTGTGTACCACGTATTGTATACATTCAGTATGTCGTGCGCAAGGCGATAACTACGGTAGATGCCAGACTCCACATTCCCGTTTAATTGTTTCTGTCAGGTGGCAGTTGAACGCCTCCATGCTGTCGAGACCGGCCGACCTCTCAGCCCTGGTTACCTTGAGTCAGAGCAAGCCCGAGGTAAACAAGAAGTGCAGTTGTTTGACGTGGAAAAGGCAAGCCGAAATGAGCGTCATCGATCGCTTGAAACCTTGCATGAAACGCAGAGCACGATGTTCCCATGCGAGTCAATCATGCTTTCAGTGTGCAAAAAGAGCGCACCAAACAACGCTTCCCTTATCTGAGGTCTTGTCTTGCTCGGCATAGGCTCCATGTGATGGAATTCTCCGCTCCATTTATGTCCCAATCGTACGAAACCAGGAATTCTTCGTGGACGATACGTTGCATGTTCTGGTGAGCAAGCTCTTGAACTGCCGAAACGAGCAAGTGTCGGACAAGGACACCAAGCTGGATGTACTTGCGATCCTGGCTAACCTGGTGAGTGAATTTAATCACCAGGGCATAGCCGACATGAGTATCGCGCCAAAACAAAAGTACATTTCCAGGCAAAACCCAACACCTTGGTGTAGCTCTTGTACCGCAGGGAGCACATCATCTTGGGATGGCTGTTTCGGGAATTCTCGCCATCCACTACATATGTGTAGCAATTGTTCTACACAAGCAACATGTCGAATGGTGTTTCGGCACCAACCTGGTACAACGGAACATTGCCGAACAATGTACAGCAGTACAAGGAGTGCAATGAACGAGATGCCAGCGGTCCACCTCCAACCTGGAACAGCGTCCCAAGCTGTAGAGTACACAGCACAATGCATCATGATCATGTCTACATCAGGAGGTTCAGAATAGTCATCATCATCCACCATCATAGTAGCGAACGGCCTTCGTTCGGATCCCTTTTTGTTTACTACCGTTGTATGTATCGCCTTGAAAACACATTCCACTGCAGTCTGGCTCTGGAGATGCTCGCGCCAAAGAGGAAGTCAGGACCGCCCTACAGGGCGTGAGCGAGTGGTTTGATGACTACCTTGCTGGGGAGCAAGGAGATGGATTGGAACAGGTAGAGCCGCTCATGGAGAACATTCGGTTTTGATGAGAGTGTCAGCTGTCGGCACCTTCCTGTCAGGCCTGATCATGGACATATGCACGCTGTCGTATTTCACTTTTATTCTTCTTTGCAATCATCGAGAACAGCGTGCGTGCCTCAACCTGAAGAGGATTGCAACTCTGTTTTCGCAGAGTACGCCGTCTGTTCCTTTTTTGTGTACGAACGCTTTTGGAGCTGAAGGATTTCCATGCAAGTTTTTTATCCCTCACACCAAAACTTCCCCAATCGCTGCATAGGAGCCGGAGTTGCACAAGTCGATGTTGCTTCTGCTGGCAAGAGCCTGGAACTACAAGGTAGGTCCGCCCAATATCGCGATGAGTACCTTCGGGTTTGGACAAGGTAGCCCGCTAAACACGGAACTCTCGGCTAATATCTAAAGGCGTGGAACCCGTCCGAGTTTTTTTTAACTCTGCCATGCCGACCCTCGTCGGCTTGTTACCTGCGTGATACGATCTTCGCTAAATTTTTGAGTGAAGCGAAGTGTGCGTCCCTGCCTTGCGGAACGAAGCATTGCAGGACACGTTCTTGACACACGTCACTCCAACCGACCTCACGTACCACACGTATTTCACAACGATTAGAGTACGCATTTCCCGTCTTTCAATCGTAAAACAGCATTCATTCATGGACAACCGAGCACCGACCCATGCACTATTTCGCCCCATCTTTCATACTACGAATCAGCTCAAGACGGAGGATTTGTTGGAGCTGACCCGAGGGGATCGAGGTCTCGCATTAGATTCGGTGAGCGCGGCTGGTAGAATCCCAAAATGCTAGAGAGTGGGCTGCTGCGCTGCAGCAACATCCTTTTTTTTCGTTCTTCGTAAGCTCGAGAGAGTGGGCTTTTGCGGTACGGTAGATTTGTGTTCGCTCTTCCCAAGATAGCCTCTAGCAATCAGGCTACACGAGAATTCTGTCTGTTTTCATCTTCGTGGTATCTTTCGCGTTACCCTTGGAAGATGAGGTCCACGCCCGCCACCAAGACATACCAACTCGTATTTGCTCGTAACCGCAGGTGGTGGGGGTCCTGGAAGATGGACGAACGTACGCGACCGAGCTCGTTCAGAGTCGCAAGCCAGGAGAGGGGGCCGTGGCGCAATGGGAACACGAACTGGTCAGTCGGTATCGTGATATGTAGTTGTTTCAGCAGAGCCTTTGGAGAGGAAGTTTAAGCTTATTCGTGATGGACCACTAGCAGATGCCCTTCACAGGGCATTCGCGAGAAATGAGGGAACAAGGCGGGGAACAAGGCGTTCTAGCCCCCAACCCTTTTTACAAGGTGGAGTTTATCGAGAAACTCTCATGCCCTTTAACTTACCAACTCGGTCTCCATCGCTGAAACAGATCTGCCGACAGCACGAGAAGCCGTTGGTTCTACAGTTGTGCCGCCTTGTACGGGGCTTCACGCACCCCGCATCGTACTTTGCGGGCGACGGCAACCCATCCTCGAGCAAGAATCGTCGCCACAGCCGGGGCACCAACGGGGGAAATCGGCAAGACTTAGCTCTATTCTCGGTGGACGAGTTCAGCGCAGAAATGGTACGGGTGATCCGTGCCCAGTATTGCCTGAATGTCATGAACAACACGAGCTCGGGGCCACGACGAAGTTCGTCGACATATTGGACGAAATGTTTTGTACCCAATGACGCTGGCGGCCCGATCCCTCCACCAGTGTCCACCAACACCAGATTTTATGATCTCGCACCAACCGGGGAATGGTTGAGGTCGTTACAGTTCGATTGTCCAGGCCTGCACAGAATAAAATACGGAGTTGGGTTCTCGGTGGCCGGCCACGTACACGGCTTGATGCCGCTTACCACCGGTGTTCCACTGGTTCTTGTATCCCCCGATGTTGTTCGAAAACGTTCAGGATAGTCTTCTGGAGATTACTCTTCGCTCGAGGGTCATCGAGAAGCTGTCGGTGGCCCTTGATGCGTGCCTCTTCTGTACACAGTACGGCCAGGAGGCGTGTCCAGGGATGGACGAGGATGGAACGGCAAAGGAAGTGAGTTTTGGTTCCAGGCTGCCTACGATGCACACGGGGCATCAGCTGCGCCACAATAGTTGGCCGTACCCTAGCGGACGGAGCAGTTGAGTTGTGCGGAATCGATTGCCCTTGAGACAAGACTCTCGTCCCAAGAAATTGCACACTTCCCCCCATGACCTGGTTTTTGTTTCGGTGACAACACCTATACCTATTGGAAAGATATCCACGAATCGGAATGCGTTGATTCGGCTGAATAGACGGGGCTGGTTCAGACCCGGTGGGGACTACAGCCCGGCCCAACGCGAACGAGGATACCTACAAAGACGTATCACGTGGTTTGACTGGCTTGGTTTTTAAATTCATTCTTGGTTGGTGCTCCGAAGTATCATTTTTCGGCCTTGCAGGTCATCTCGGAGCGACGGGCTTTTAAAGCAAAACTTGTCGAACATGTCACGTTCGACATCGGGCATTCTAGTGCCAGCCTTGTTCGTGCCTAGCGTGCTGTCGCGTTGTTGTCCGGGTCATTTATGTACGCTGGTGGCGTCTGGCCACGGAAAGCCATCATCCGCGTCAGTTGGATCATTGCGGATGCTGGACAGCATAGAGCAGAGGTCGGAATAGGTTTATGTGAAGGTTGACCAGTGCCATTGAGGAGCGCGATCTCTTTGGCACAAATCGACTGAGGATACCCCTCCTGAGGAATGATACTCTTGTAGTCAGAGAACGTCTTACCATACCGGTGAGCCTAAGCAAAAGAAACGGCTACACTTTAGCAGCCCATTGCTGTACGACCCTGCTGTGCAACCCATCGAACACGACAATAACAGGAGAGCCATTGGGACGGCAACAGAAGTCTGGACAGCATAGCCAGGGACGACGGTAACGGTGGCTGTGGCAAACATGAGCAAAGCCGAGTACCGTTAGAGGACAGCGACCACCTTGCGGTGCACTCTGTGCACATCTTCATGCAGAACCTGTACCACTACGCTACACAGAACACGGTGCGGTGCAAAATCAGTACTAACCACTCTCGGATATATAAATTCCTCGCCATCTAGGAGCACGTCAGCTTCTTGGAAGCACAACTTTGACTAACGCGCAAATTGCAACGTGGGGGCGGTGCCTTGGCGTTGTTGTTGGGAACCTCGTCCAAGATACATTGGGTAAGCCTGATGTAGGAACGAAGATATCGGAGCCCGACGAAGGAAGTTGTGCAACGTCTCAGCACCTCGTGCCCTGAAAGACAGGGATTTGCCACCATAAACTGACCGGAATGTTTTGGACAACTTGGCTGCGCGATGGGCTGTCACGTGACGGGGTCGAAAACAACATTGCGCGACATACCTCCTCACTCTCTTAACCTTATATCCACCATTGAGTTTAGCAAGGCATGCCGTTGGCGTCAGTGAATAACACTGTCCTTTCGAACCTACGGGGGAAACGTAAAAATACTCACTCGCCTTGAACTGTGTGTGCTGGCAGGACTTTTATCGCCAGCACATGCTGAGCGATACGTTGCTAGTGCCGAGGCTAGTCTTACCCTACCTGGATCAGTGCGTGCGACAGGCTCGACTTTTGTGTCACAGGTGACAGCAGTAACTTTCCACAGATACCACGCGCTGAGTAGAGTATCCCTCCTCGTGTGGGTTTGCGTCACTCGCATGCGTCGTATTGAATTATGTTCGGAAAGGGTGTGCGTTCTCGCGGTGTTGGGTCGTTGTACTGCAATGTGGGTTCTGTCGGGCGAGTTCTGATTGTCCAAGCGCTTCTTGCCACATGGATTTTTCGATTCTTGCTCAGCGCTGCTGCCCCGCTTGTAACCACCAGGGGAAGCCCCCCCCGCACAACAACGTGCATCGTTGATGAGGTGTTTGGTTCGGAATGCAAGCAACGAACGACCGGCTGGAACGACCTCTGGCCCTGCTCATGTTTCTTACAGGAGAGGTCCATCTAAAAACAGTCAGTCTGCGAACGGATGGGTTGACGAAGGAACTAGCGCCATAGGTCAGGAAGAGGGAGAGGATGGCTGTAGACACCGTACGGCCGGAGTCGAGGCTGCGCTGGCCCAAGGGATTGCGTCGAGCTTGAGAACTTTGGTCATTGCGTCATTTCGCGCGCCCCCAAATAAATTCGTCCTAGGTGAGGCCAAGAAGGAAGGTAAAGGAAGTAGAACATTGGACGATATTCTCCAAGAGAATACGGAACGAAGACGGGGTCGTGCTTATTCCCATAATGAACCGTACACCACCAATTGTGGTCTGGGGAAAACGGGAAAAATCATTATTGCCGTTGGCATATCACGTTGCAGATGTATGCTACGGTCTTAGGGCAGCTTCTGGAATAACACGAAGAATCGAGAAAGTTTTGCACATGGTGTGTGCGGCGCTCGGCACGTTGGATTGCTGGTAAGATGTGAATGGTAGGGGGTGCTGCGTTCTCTCGTAATCTATCCTCGGCGTAACCGCCCCGGGTATGTTCTTGTCGCGCGCTTGTGTGACGTTTGAACATGCAGGACTGATGCAGAGACTCAATCCCACCGGGTCCCTGCTTCGAGCCCGGCCGTTTGTTGCCCGGCACGACTACATCTTCACCCTGCTGTGCCTCTTGAACGTCAACATGGGCGCCCTTAACAACGGGGCTCTATTAGTAGGGAACGGGGAATCAATGAGAGTCGCAGAGGAAGACAGGGCCACGGGTACGAGCGTTATCGGAGAAACAGCCATGGATTTTTCCTTGGAGATGGTGCTGGCGCAGGGCTTGATGGACGATATGGCAGGCGTGTTTCAGGAGGTGAAACAAATGCAGATCTTTTTGACAGACGCAATGAAACAAAGGCTTATCGGTATAATAGGGCTGGAGTCGTTCTCGTCGGTATTGTAAGGGACCGAATGGAATTGTACAAGACACGGTTCCGAGAGGACACATGAACATTCTTGTTGTCAGGACATTATTGAAGCGCAAACGGCATCTTCACCATCGCCGTCAAACAACTGACAGGTTTTAGCTCTTGTCCGGGTCGAGTTGCGAGTTGGTGTTTTTTTGTCATTGTAGCTTGAGCGGGTTCTGCCATCTTTGGCTGCTCTACACCAATAAGTTCTAACCAACCTCGCTGGACATGAAACTGCACTTCAGATGTCTTCGGAAGCTAAACGGCGTGTGGTGCAGAGGGTGACCAAGTCGGGAGCCTTACCAGTCTCCCGCGACGCCCCCGGCTACTCGGCAGTCCTTAAACTGTTAGGGGTCACGGATTCCAGCCTAGACTGTGGCGAACAGGGGGCGAACTCGACCGGAAATACTGGAAGGGCAGGTGAAGCTTCTATTGTGCAGTCCGAGATTTCTGTCGAGCATGAACAACTTATCATCCTGACGATGGGTAGCGTTTTGAAGAGGAAATCATGATATCAAGGGTAAAGAAGCACTGATGGCGGCAACTTCTATATCACGTACGTACTGGCTGAACTTTGTTTCCTAGCCGTGGCGCCAAGCCCACGTCAATATTGAACTGTTTTTTTTTTACGAATGTCTAGTGGGGGGGGGGGCGACCGACCGGCAGGGGCGCTGGAGAGCCGGCTTAGGAGTGGCGAGGAGTGTTGTTTATCACATGACTAGGGTCGCTTGGGGGGGTTCAACGAGTTTGTACGTTCTGGAAAACCATCAGCTTGAGGGTTGTTTTTCGTCACCGCCCATTGAACATTGTTTGCGGTTGCTTGTTCCATTCGCTTTGGTTGGGGCACTTAGTCTGCTGAAATGACCATGGAAGCAACTTGTGAAACAAGCAGTAAGGAATAGGTCATCCAAGCAAATGCATTCCTGCGGTAAGTGGGAATCCAATGAATATGGGTGTTGATTGCGGGACGTGCGTTATTTTCCGGTGACCAGAGAGTAAAAACTGTCGGGCGGGAGAGGACTGGGCGTCCGATCGCAAGACGGCCAAGAACGAGGCGGAGGCAAGGACGCGAAAGCTCAGCAGAGCATTCATGGCTGGCGCAGGTAAGAACGGCACGCGTGCGGCAGAACGCAATCAAAGGTGCCCGAACTAGAGTCCTGTCGCGATCTACGCCAGTAAGTAGGCCGACGCAATAGCCCCCGTCCATCACAGGTACGCAGTACTTCATCTGAGGCCGGTGGATTGCCTGTCACAAGGTTTTCCTGGACCAAACCTTGATCGTCCACTTTTCTTTCGAGGTCTACCAAAATCCATGTTCGTATTGCATGGAACGACGACAAAAATGCACGGCCTAGACGAAGTTGCATCTTCCCTGCTATTCGTATTCTACAATGACTTCGTCCCGTTGCGCCCAAAAAAGGGGGGCTGTTAGTTGTAACAGACTATGCTCCTTCCCTACTCGACCCCTCACTGTCTTGGTTAAACCAGGAAGCGCCGACAACATCGAAGCCGAACGAAAGGCGGCCGGAAATGGCAATGCCTTCGTGCCCACCGAACGCGATCATAAGTTGCAGAAACACCACGACGAGGACGGACAATCAGGGCATTCGGTTGGGAAGACAAGCGGTGGTGAAGCAAAGGTCGACAACGCCGCTATTTCGGGGCATGGGGGTCAGGGGGCAGACAAGGGTGTGAGAAGAGGGCTCGCGTCTCTCGGAGATCTACCCTCGCTCGGGAGGAGGATTGTAAGATGACGATCTCTGTTTCCCGCTATCACAAGGTTTTCAATGTTTTTGGGTTCTATGCAGAAATTCAGAAATGAAACCCCTTCGTTGTCGAGCTCCTAGGCTTAGTCAATTCGGTGGTGCGAGTGCTAGTAGGATTCACATGCGTGTGGACTCAGGGAGGTACATGCACACGAGAAGTGTAGCACCAAGGGGTGCAACACTTTCGGAAGTGTACCAACGCACTCTGTCGCCACCCTACGCTTCCGTCCCATCCGTCGCGCTATGTGAAGGACCCTGGCACCCTAGCGGACCTTAAGCAGCAAAGGGTCAGAGTGAATCTCGATCTTCCAAGGAACGCCTTGTCGTCGAGGCTCAAACCAGCCTGTGACGGGAGCCATGCGGACGGCTCTCGGACTGCCAGATCGTCGAGAGGCCACAACGATGGCAGGGTTGATGGTAATGGGTGGGCAGGCGGGGAATCTTGGAGCGGGGGCTCTGGGGATGAAGGTGCACGAGATGGGGGAGGCCCGAAACGTGGGCGGAAGGAGAGATCCGGCAGCCGCAGGGAGGGCAACGGGGCCGATGGAATGCCCAAAGTGAGTGTTGGTTGAGCTTTCCGAACTCGTCGATGTCGAAAATACCAATGTGGTCGTGGGCTAAATCTGCAAACGCGCACAGGCGAGGCGTGTTGCGGTGTCAATGGCCAACAGCCGCTTGTTGAGGGGAACCGCGCTGCTTGGGAGTGTCGGGTCGGAAATGAAACCGAATCAGCCCTTTCTATATCTTCTTGCTGTCGTCTCAACCGACTAGGAGTTCCTGTGCGCCATCAACGGCCACATGATGAAGCTGCCAGTCAGGTCGCCACACGGGCATGTGTTCGAGCTTTCTACCATCTTGCTGTGGCTTGAATCCAGGGGGCGGGTGTGCCCGTTTTCCGGAAAGCCGTTGAGCAAAGGTAAGGATATGGGGCAAGGCATGTTTTTCTGCTGCCACAGACGCAATCTACGGCTGTTCATTTCCACGAAAACCGATATGAAGCCAACGTATGGTGTCCATTTTGTTCCGTTTTCTTTAAAAGGTGCCTGGGGTTTATCGCCAGGAAGGTAACAAGTCGTAGGCGTGGGTTCAAGGCAAGCATGCCACGATGTGAACTGTTCGCCAGTGAATACTTCTCTTTCCAACTAGTCTTAAAAGTGACACCGCCCCCTCCATTCTCAGCATTGTTTCGTCCACCCAATACCTCAAGTTTTCAGCGGTGAAAAGGACCACCCCCTCTTTGCCTGGTGTTTCCTGGCAGAGGAGCTGGTACCCGAAGAAGAGCTGAGAACACGGATAATGCGGTGGCGCATAGAAAAAACTGATGTCGGCATTGACCGTCGCGGGCTTGAGGACGACGACATCTACGACTTTTGAGTTGAAGTTTTTTTGTGCTTGAGAAGGATCACAATCGCACGGTTCACGACCTACTCTGTCAAGTCGCCTGTTGCGACGACATGAAAAATTGATAGATGTAGACAGTGTGGTCTCGTACGTTACAGTCTTCTTGACTGGTATGGCCGTAGCTTGTCTTGTATGCGTAACTCGGGCAAAGATTTTGAGTTTAGGGTAACGTGAGGTAGTGGATCTGTGGACGACTGATTAACAAAGGGCATAGCGCACGACCCGCAAAACAACACCAGTTCATGTGCATCCGGCGGTCTGGATTTACTACAACCAATCGGAAGACGCCCTCCACCATCAGCCCTAGCGGCGACACCACTAAAGTGCTGTACAGTCCAAGCCCCAATATTACCACGACGACGGCCGTCAGCCCCAATCTTCCGCTCGCAGTTGCTCCCCTGTTCTCGTCTAGGTGTCTCTGTGCATTTTGCAATAGTCCATACCCACCGCGGGACGCCGTTGGCCCATGGACTACTGTCTAACCGGTACATAGCAACTTTTCACATGTAGCGAAGCATGAAGAGCCACCACCAAGGGCATGATCAGGTTTGTCGTTTCGCAATGGAGACTCGTCGATCGAGGCGAACCGCCGAGCTCGCCAATTTTTTTCTCGAGCTGTCTAATCAGCCCCCACCTCACCGGGAAGTCCCAGCTGGGTCGAGGTCCGCCCGACATTCATAACAGACAAGGTGCAGCGGTGTACCTTCCTACCTTGCTCACGAACAGAATGTCTGACACACCTGGTGTGTTTGCTAAAAAAAGTGTCGGGGAAGTGTCCTTAGGGTTGATGCCTGTACATTCTGCGAGCCATCACGCCTGCCTGTGAAAAAAAAGTTCCTTGCCCTTGACCGAGGAAGATTCCTGAATTTTGGTTAGGCACTTGGAGGCACGACTATCCAATTGGAGAGGCATATCCAGTTTCTATACTGCAGCTATTGTTGGTGTATGGAACGCCTACATCGGTACCGGTAGTCAGGAGAGAATCCCCAACAGGTAGGTGGCCCCATTCTTGGCAGCACGAAGTACAAGGCGGTGAGTGGGCGATATCGCGGGTCCTTTCACCCCGATCCATCCCGACCATGATTTTTTTTTTCCTTCCAGACTCTCCGGCGGCCCTGGCCATCACGCGTATACAATTTTTCAGCAACAGATGAGTTCACGAGCTCTTATTGGAGACCACCTTCCACCGCCGTTGGATACTGACAACGTGAATAATCTGTAAATAATAGTAGGCGGCCGTGGTGCCCGTTCTCCCACCCATTTTGGTCAGCCCCACAACCCCGACCAGCGCGTCGAAAATCCTAAGTTTCCCACCGACCGCAGCCAACTCTACCGGTTCCCGGAGCCAGCCTCCCCATTACTCCGTCGTAGCATCCGGGGAGACTGCATTACCAAGCTAAGTAGCTCGAAAATCCGTCAGGATCAATGAGCATGCAATGATCATGTGTCGTGCTGGCTGGGGCTCCGCAGAACCTTTGCCATCGCATACGCGCTACAATACGCTCTGCGAAGCCCCTTCGAGCCCGTCCACGTCACAGGCTGGGCCAGCAGCACTGCAGCAGGGCAGCAGATAGTGAGTGCACCGATAGGATGAAGCTCCTGTGTGCTGTCCTGTGGACCGCAGTCGTCGCAGGAACCCCAGACTTTGCTTCGTGTTTTGTGGCTGGGCCACGCCTCGCACCGCGAGTGTCGGTCGCAGTCAATGCCTTGCTCAAGTGCAGAGCGGAGAACTCCGCTTTCAGTACCACCTCTAGCAGGAGGATGCGGCGGCGAAGAGTGTTGACAGCTACAGCACAAGGGCCAGGCATGGATATCGACGCGGAAGGGTCCGGGAAGGAGATTAGAGTGGACATCAAGGGGGGAATCCAGGTGAGGTTTCTGTCCAGTGAAATTTTGAACAAGAACAGAAGTGTGATCATGATCCACTGCTACTGCTGTAAATATTGTACACATACATACCGTTCGTGTCCTGCTGGCAACTTGCTGGCTGCACCTTGGGTGCTTGGCGTGTCATGATTTAACCCTTGCGTGACTGGTTTGATTTGACTTGGCTTTTTTCGGCCCGCTCAGCAAATCGACCCCACCGTTTCACTAACGCAAAAAACAGATCAAAATCACGATAAATTTACATGTACACATTCCGTACTAAAGATAGAGAGGGGTTACCGTGGAGCCGATGAGTATTCCGTACTAAAGATAGAGAAGGGTTACCGTGGAGCTGATGAGTGTGTGCAACCTACAGTACATACAACAGTACTCGTGCGATGTACAGCAGTGCAGTCCCGAAAACCCTGTCCCTTGCGCGAAAAGTGCACAGAGCAAACGCGCTTCCTTGCACCCCAAATATTCTGCTCCACACACAACGCAGTCATGACAACCTCAGGCACCGAGGCAGTGCACTAGCACTGGCTCCGGTGTGGGTTGTCTTTGCTCTCCCTCGCGGACGTGGGACCGGGTTGATCACATGTGGAGGGTCCTGTATTGTACCCTCTCGTGGTATTTGCCGTTTGGATCTTACAGGAGGTAGGCAGGAGTAGATTGGGTCAGACAGAAAGGACATAATCTGCCCCACCTCAGAGACATTAATGCTGTACAAATGGTAGAGCAATAGTATTGCGTGTACCCCTGTGTGCACATTGCCAATATGCGTGCATTTGTGGTGGGCTGCCTCTTGGTCTCTCTGCTGGTCTGTATGGCGTATGTTTTTGTCTCTCATGTATAGGCGAGGAACGCCGGCGATGTTTTGGCACACAAAGTTATCGCGTATCGTGCCTGTAGTCACATACCAAGGGTTAACAGGTTACGTCGAAGTGCTATTTACAGCTGATGATCGACAAATATACTCTGCTGTAGTGACCTCCAGTATCCCCGGCCGCGTTGTACGGCCGGGGATACCGGGGCGGGGTAATCACACCCTGGCGACGGCTATGACGCCGGGGCCACGCCTTCGTCATCTTCCCCCGGCCACGGTGTTGCCGCCGCGGATACTGGAGCGACGTCATCGCACCCTGGCGACGGCTATGCCGCCGAGGCCACGCCTACGTGCATGCCGTCAGTCTATGTAGACTAATCCAGTTAAATTGTTTTGTCCTCAGTGAGATCCAAGGTAGTATGCATTTCGCAATCGCTCTCCCCCGCTTTATGCTGATGCAGTGTTCAAAAGGGCAAGTGACATTTTTTTTGCAAAAACTACAAGGGGTACGATGTTCATACTGTTTACTTCGTATTAATGGGGGAGAGAAATGGTCGTCGTTGTCTGCGCTTTAATTAATAAATACACATAAACTACCGCCATTGTTTTTCCCCTGTCGAGCGCACAGGTTCAATCACGCTCAACCGCCAAGATAAACGCCGACACACGTCGCAAATGATTGGCAGCATCGAGCATAGACGCGCAGTAGACGTTGGCCGTGCCTCCAGACCCACCCAAAGCCAGTAAGCGTTAGCGCAGCATTGATATCTCACACCCACGGTTGATACAACAGTCCGCCACAGCAATGGTTTTTCCTTTTCGCGGACGGATCCTACCCGCGAATTGTGTTGTTTTTTCCCTGTGAAACACACACATGAACCAATGCGCGACTGCCATGATAGACGTCGACAACACGTCGCAAACTATTGGCCGCATCCAGCATAGACGCGCGCGGTACAGCTTGGCTATACCGGCACACCCTCGTATCTACGCCACTGCACCAGAGCAGCGGTTATCCTTTTAGCGGACGGCAATGGACTCGCCGCAAGTCACACACGTGTAGTTAGTTCATGCACACAACATATTGATCCGGGGGAAAATTTCACCAACATGTCACAGGAGGAAGGACGTACATCGTCAAACACCCGTTCATGAGTCGATCCTTACAGGTGCACAACAACAAGACAACCCAGATTCTCCAAAAAAGGCAATGACCAAGGAAAATTCTCATTTGTGTATATCTCAAGATGTTGCTTCTCAATATTCCTTGCGGCTTACGGGAGCGTTAGACAAGCGAGGGCTTTGCGTAGATTAACCAAGACGAAAAAATCGCCCTACTGCTGTAGATTTACGTGTATCGAAATCTGTCTAAATGGCCTGTTGTTGGGGCACGAACATACTGCCTAACACCCGCCTACTGCTACGGATTGAAACTTGTATCTATTTCAACGGCAGGTCAACGTCGTCGACTTGTTGCCACCTCTCAGCAATCTAACAAAGTAAAACATTTTTTCCCGCTTACCACACTTCTGCAACCAAAGCCAGAAACCCATTTTTTTGCCCGCCATGGTTATACAGGGTATCCCGAAGGAATCATGGGACGGGCTTTTGCGACCAGACGAGTCACCATTCTTGGAGCACGATTGGCTGTACGCAATGGAGAAGAGCAAGTGCGCCACCGTAGACACAGGTGCATGGGGATGCCTTGGCTGGGGAAATATTCTTCCTCTTGCGGAGTTTTTGCGGTGCAGCAGCAGTCTTTTTAGTTTCGCGTGACTTCGTGTCCCGAACCTTGAGGCACTTTGTGCTCGTGCTAGCATGCATACGGCTTGGTCCGATTGAGAGAGGAGCGACGCCCCAAAATTGACGCCTTTTGGTTGAACGGGGTTCATGCCGGATGCTGTCGTTCGTTCGTGTTATTATCAGTCCTCTCGCGCCCGAGGTAATATTTTATCCCCGACGCCTAATGTCGTTTAGCCTAACTTGTCCAGGGTCCGCTTTAACCACTTCCAAACGAAGCGGGCCCACACCAGCTTTTTCCGGCCGGGGTGGAATCTAAACCTCCGCCCGAGGTTGCTGTCTTGCCATTTTCAGACACAAGGCACGTCATGCTTCAGAAAACCGGTGTAAACTGCAACGTAGAGCTCCCTATTTCAAGCTATACCGCAAGCGACAATCCTCATTCAGGCATACGGCGACCCTAGAAACAGCGCAGTTCGATAGCGGTCCAGGTGTGGATGACATGCCTTGCCTCTTAAAGTGAATGCGTCGGTGTCCACGCGGTTACTTCTACGTTGCTGTCTCAAACCCCTCTAATTGGGAGCTCTCCATCGATGATACCGCCCCCTGGTGAACAAGGTCATGTTGTCGAAGTTGTTAGGGTGCCACCATCGGCCGGGGATTCCGTCCGGCAGATGCTACAGTACCCTGAGGGTTCGGTTCTCTAGGCACGGTTACCCCCGTGACATGGTTAGGATCGCGTTTGCTCCCTTTGTGGGAGCCCTTCGACGATCGATGTGGATTTCGAGGTTGAGAGACCGACGGAGGGCCCACCTCCGCGACGTTTAATTTTCCAGAGGAGGAAATGTTTCTGGTTGTACATGCACCGACCGATCCAGCTGTGCACCTAATGTTGCCCTCTCTGCTGATGTTTCAGGTAGTTCTCTAGGCACACGCACTTCGCCACAACCGCCTCGAGATTCGTTCTTCCCTTGCGCCCCCATTCGGTGTGCCTCAGGCATTTTTTCGTGCTCCGTTCGCCTTGGCGTGTCAGACGTTTCATGTGTTTCACAGCTGTCCCGCCCGGTATCACGTGTACTCGATAGTTTGAGAAATTGGAATCGACTGGCAGGTACGTAAGGCTGTGATGTATCACGTTGAGCTGCCACGCGCCGGTCTCGCGCCCGCGTCGCGCTTCCTTACCCTGTCCAGGATGGCAACCGCAGCACTTGGCGGTCACAGCATCGGAGGGGTCCTCCGCCCTGATAGCAGCCGTCCCATTGTACGTCAAATACCACTCGATGGGAGAGTTTATCTTCGACCAGGTAAAATGTTCCCCGCCTCGACGCCTGCTGCTGTGAGTATGATGCCGATACCCTCGAGATCGTTCTCGGCGTCGCGGTTTCGTCTGTCGCGGCCTTCGGTCAAGCGTGAAGTTTCGTTATATCCCGTTTGTTTCCTTGGCTCTGTTTGCTACTCCGAATACCCGTATCGTCACTTCTAGCTTGGTTTGCCGCAGTGTCACAAGCGTAGCTTTTTGCCAGAACTCCCGGCGTTAAGCAGGGATAGGTTTTGATACTGCTTCCCTTGAATATTGATGCTCAATGCCTACACCTCTTCATTGGCCTTCCGAAACCGATTTTTTGTTTCATGCCCGCCCTTTACATCGATCTTCACACGAAGGTACGCCACACATTGGTACCCCCTACGCCCCCCCCTGCCTTTGTTGGCAACGACACACTTTGACGTGCTCTGTCCGACTTTGCGGGATATGGAGTCTGTTCGGGTGCAAGCGTATGCGTCCGACTGATCCACCCCCAGGACCAGCTCAACGCTGGGGTGTGGGACAAGTTCAGGGCCCCGCCGGATACCCGGGGGCACGAC